ACCACTCATACACCCAGTAAGTTTGGTTGGACTATAAAATATAGGCCTAGCCCTATATGCCCATCGTCTTGAGACATGGAAAAGGTTTTTAACTTATATTATATACCTGTTGCTTCTTGTCAATAGTTAGTACAAGTAACAAGCAAACAAGCTGCAAAGTTTCATACACTCATTCATTCAGTAGCATGTCCCTCACGGAACCTCGCTGCCATAACAACCCTCCGGAAAACCTTCCTATCCTGAGCAAGATGTCCTGCGTCTGATACACCCATCTGGAGATCATCTGCCACATCCTGCACCCATCTTCTCCTTGGCCTTCCTCTTCCTCTCTTCCCAGGCAGATACCCCTCCATTATTGTTCTCTCTAGACTTCCATGACGTTTCAAGTGACCAAAATATTTCAATTTTCTTTGTTTTATTGTCTTTACTAGCCAACCCTCTTCAATATTCAGCTCTTGAAGTATGGATGCATTTGTTCTTTTCTTTACCCAAGATATTCTTAGAACCTGTCTGTAACATTTATATTCAAATGCATTTATGCACTGTTCCGCTTGTTTAGTAAGTGTCCAGTTCTCACAGGCGTATGTTGCAATGGGAAAGATGCATGCTCTTAAAAATCTGACCTTTGTAATTTTATCTGTACAATTCCATAATTTATTCAGTTGTTTTAAGTCTGCACTATTAATTCTATTTTTCACAGAAAAAAAAAAAAAACACACACACACGAATTAATCAAGACGTGTTAGTTAGCAACCGCAGAAACAAATATGTAAAAGCAAAGACACATACAAACACGTGTTCTGTATCTCACTCTCTCTATCTGTGTGTGTGTGTGTGTGTGTGTGTGTGTGTGTGTGTGTGTGTGTGTCGCTCTCTCTGAACATGTTTTTTTTTTTTTTTTATTAAAAAGAAGCATATTTAGTAGGGTCAAAGTAAAAATAAATGACTGCATCATTATCCTTGCCTTGTAATAATTGATTTCATTCCTTTCCGGGCTTTATCTCCCAATAATAATGGGTATAATAACATACATTCAGAAACAGTGACTTGTCGACAATAGCTTTTGTTATCTTGGAACATTAACTAACACAGACTGACAACATTATCTAGCCCCATCTTACAGAGTCAACAAACGTCATCACAAAAAATAACATACTCGCGTGGTCTCATAATATCATTTAGGTCGGAAAAAACAAACACATCTACTTTTATCCCACAGCAGTATCCAAAGTAAGCTCACATATCTAGCCAGGTTTCGTAACATTGTCCAGCGTGATTGGTACACATCACGAAGTTGACCGCACCTCCCCGGGCAACAGATTTCGTGTCGGCTTCCATTCATGCCATTGACGTTTCCATGGGCCGACCACGGCCTTCTCTAATATATATTTTTTTAGAGACGGGCCGACCTACGTTCTAGGGGTGTTAACATATGCGTTCGTTCTCTTTCGCTGGCTATACACACCATGCGGAAACCCGGATCCCGTTTGTTTGAGACCCGACGTGACGAAAGTGCACAGGTCTCTCGTGGCAGACGTCCCTGAGCGACCGTTTTGGTGCGCGCGGGTGAGTGTTTAACTAGTCTGTGTATTCTCTTTCAGCCGTCACTGGTTTAAGACTTGGTCAATTGAAAGAAATTAATCTAGAATTTCAAGTCACCAAGTAAGGCCGCAATGATGGCGATGAATAGCCAACGCTCAATTCTGTAACGCACAATTGCGTCCGCTTGTAAAGGGGGAAATTTAACGTGCTGGCCGCTCACAACGTGGTAAATCGACGGCTTACAGCGTTGAAAATAACACAACACGACAACCCAAGAACATAGTACTGCAAGTGGTAATAGCCACGGCAATAATGGGAGCCGACACGAATCTTTGCGTCCGGCGAGATGCGGCTAAGATCGTGACATGTACCACGTGACATCTTATCTAGCATAATATCACATTTTACAAATCATCTTGCGAGATCTCATATTATCCTCTCGCTTGATTCCACAGCATCAGCTAGCATGATCTCACAATATCATCTAGTCTGATCTCACATCATCATCAAGCACGGTCACACAAAATTAATTAACGTGATCAATATCGTCTAGTCTGATCTCACATCATCATCAAGCATTGTCACACAAAATCAATTAACGTGATCAATATCGTCTAGTTGTATCTCATGACATTATCTAGCGTGATCACACAAAATCAACAACCATTATCTTGAAAAAGCCGACTAACAGTCTTAATACAACATCAAGCAAGATTGCACAGTATTATCAAGAGTGACTTTAAATTATCATCGATCCTGACCTGATATCGTCTTTAAATTTGAAACCTCACATGACTACTTACCGTGATCTCACTACATCTCTGACGTGGTTACACAACATCTCTGACGTGATCTCACAACATCTCTGACGTGATTACACAACATCGTCATGCGTGACGTCACCAGGATAGAGCAAACCACCACACCGGCAGTAATTGTATAAGACTCCGTGAATATGATCCAGAAGATAGCAAAAGGCAGTATGCGCTCTGAATGGGTAGAAAGAATTTAAAAATCACACTTAACCTCCCTCACCTGGATCTACACACTGCGTCATGCGGGCGTAAAGGGCAATGAGCGAGTGGACCAACTGGCAAGCACTGTACTAAGGATTGCGGGAAAAAGCTTGGACAGAGCAGATATTGTCAACGTTGTACTGACTGAGCTAGTGGATATTGCGGAATCCCTGACACTAACACAATTGTGTGACATGGGAGTAAAGCATGGTGAAGCATGTCTTAGAGGCCGAGATAGGAGATATACCCAGCTTCTTATGGTAACAATTAGTAGAACTACTTTGGAGTTGCTGCTGCATCAGAGGACTGAGTACGCACAGGAATGCCCAATGTGCAGTGACGTCGATTGTGATAACATAACATAACAGAGACCGTGACTTCATAACATCGCACAGCGTGATCACTCGACATCCTCAAACTTGATCACACATTATCAAACTTGATCAAACAGCATCATCAAGCTTGATCACACATCATGATCAATCGAGGTCACAAAACAATCTGTAGTGATATTGCATCACCAGGCGTGATCTCACATCATATATAGCGAATCATCTCTCACAGTGTCACTAATGGTGACCTAACTTGTGGTTGGACGATATTTTTAGCACAACCCTGTGAGAACAGTACCGAAACGTTCCGCCGGAACTTGCTAGACACACAGAAGGGGAAAATGGGATTGATGGCGAAGAAGAAATAGAACAAGATCTGTAGACACTGATTAACTGCCAGATCAGTGAGTCCAGGTTCCTTCTTGTAAACATACCTGCAAAGAGAAGGATACAGCAGACATTTGCATTTCATTACTGTATAGTCTTTCTTAAACTATTGTATCATTTGTTCTATCCAAAACAGTATCAACAGTTATAACAGAAAGAAGATTGGTAATTACTGGACACGTTCTGAGATAAAGGTGGACAAGAATCGCAAAGAAAAGACACTAGGAATAAATGAACATGTAACTTTAAACTTGCATTGCATAAGCTGCTCTTTCTTATATATATTACATTTTTCTGTAATCTTTTCTTTCTCGCTGGTTACATTTAACTGTTATTTGTTATGGAAGTTATCATTTAACGACAAGTATTAGGGATTGGATAAGTTTTTAAGATATCGTCTATTCTTGTTCATCATACTCAATATCATCATCATTATTATGATCATCATCATCACCATCGCGTAGCGTCCTTTGCAGAGCCTCGCTCGCATTACCACAGTTACCACTACGTCACCAGAACCTGAGAGATAAGGCAACTTCAGCCCTCCACACACAAGGTTCAGAGACTGAGGCTAAACACCCTCTCCCCCCCCCCCTCTCCCTCGACTAATAATTGTTGTAAGAAGGTTAATTGTAACCCTTTAACCACGTATAGAATTTCTTTCTAGCATTAATCGTCAATATATCTCGTAATATTTCAAGTATATTAGTTTACCTTTTTACCGTCAAGACAGCGGGGGCATAGAGATGTTTGTTTTTCAGCCAACATCTAACCGGGGTCTGAATGTGATAGTCTTGTTCAAGTTTGATTTTCTAGGGAGTTGTGTTAAACTAGTCTGAATGTAATAGTTTTCTAATTCAAGTTTGGCCTTCTAGGGAGTTGTGTTAAACTAGTCTGAATGTGATAGTCTTGTTCAAATGTGACCTTTTGTGAAGTCTGAAAACGCCATGACTGGTCCAGCAAACCGACAATGACTAACCATGGTGCTCGTAGAAAATGAAGCGAACTCGCGAACCGAAGAGAATAAAAGCAGAAAATGGACAGCTGAAATATCAGAGACACTGAAAAGTACTTTTTACGGAGAGAAGGTCCTTGTTACTGAGATCTCTTTCTGTCCTGACAGTGCGAGGCATTCCAGGAGAAGAGGAAAGAAGAAAAAAGAAGATTTATGTACCGTGCAGTATATTATTATTAATCTTCTAAACTAGGCATATGCCCCTTGAGCACTCCTACTCCCCTTTTGCCTAGAAACTACGCAAATATCTAAATACATGCACATACATATGCAAATATGTATGTCGGGGGACGTTCGATCAGGCGCTAAGGTCCCCGTCTCCCAATCATGGTTTCTCTGTTTCGGCGCGTCTTCTCATCACGACAGCAAGAAAGCAACAGGGACCCCTTTTAATTGCCCTGTCTAGTGACCTTTCACCTCTCACGGTGTCCTTTGATATTCTGACATCAAATTGTTTGTAAGCCAAACCTAGTTTCTCTCTAATTTGTAATGGCGTGTTATTTAACGCGTCCACAATGGACTACGGATAACCGCTTTGTGGCATCCCAGAGTAACTACATCACCTATTGGACTATACAAATATAAGCAAGACCACATATGCCCACTGGCCTGCAAAGGGACATGTTAATTATTATTATCATCATCATATATCATTATCACTACTGTCTATTTTACCATGGTATAGACAGGGGGTCGTGAACCTGAGGATTAGGGCCGCATGGCTAGTGCTGTCGCCACCGACTATGCAAGTTAGGACGTGTAATTTTGCCACCGAGAGAAAAACTCCATCACCTTGCCGGAGGTCGAAACCATGTCTCCCACATGAGAGTCCCACGTTTTTACTACTCGGCCATTTGCTCCTCATTATTATCATCATTATCCTCATTATTATTATCATGTTACATAGCTATACGTTTCAACGGGGTTTCCCGGATTTTTATCTGATTAATTCTTATCGAGCTGTTAATCCTTTAGCATACAAATCTGGAAGGTTGTTGCAATTCTAATGTTTAAATGAGAGGCAATTGTTTTTACTATTTTAAAGCCCCACCCCAGTTGTCTTCGGAAGCCCTGAATATAACCAACTCGTTGAGCCGGAAATTGCGTCCGGGTGATTGTCATCCGAATGTTGGCGTCTTGTATCAATGGGTCTTTATCGCTTGTTCCTAGTGTGGTTAAACATCAGTCAGTCAGTCAGTCAGTCAGTCAGTCAGTCAGACAGTCAGTCTGGAAGGGAAAATCTTATTTGAAAAATAATTCTACTGGCTTAGCTAAGGATACGTTATCTAAAAAAATGCTTTATCGGGTCGATAATTTTAACTGCTGTTCAGGTTAAATCAGCATATACCAATCATGTGCAACCATAGCGAGCGGTGATTATCGAAATGTCCGTTTTCTGATTACCTTTGATCTCTGCATTGCCAATAACGAATATGGAAGTGACACGTTACATAATTCGTCTTATACAGATCCAAAAACAGTGTGAATGCATCACTGTTCTGGGCATAACTTAGCGTGCACATATGAATTAAATCCACAATCTATGGGTGACGGTACAGCTTGACTAATGAATACACGATTTAATGATATGTGGTGGTCCCACTGTGAAGCAGAAATGTTCCTAAAGACAAGCTTTGTTATTGGATTCGACAGGTCGATCCTTGTAGCGACTGTATTGTTCCAATAGTCCTGTTGTCTGCGGTCAGCAATACTCTTTGCTGGCTGGTTTTTTTTTTTTTTTTACCTTCGTGAAGGTTTGGCATTCATACGGAACAAAGGGTCCAATACTAGATGGCAATACATTATGGTAAATATATGATATTCCATTTAACCGTCAAGCATTTTTTGCACTTATCAAAAGTAAAATCTTACAACAAACATCTCCAAGCATAATAATTAGTTTCTCTCCTTGGAAATACTTTAAACATTGTTTTAAAATCTCACATTAGGCTTCATCCATAAACTAAGTCATCAAACTTTGTTTCCTAAACTGATTTTCTGCTTTTTTTTTTTGTTTTTTTTTGAGGGCCGCATTGATCATTGACATTCTGTCATGTGGCAACTTCTTCAACCGGAAACAACAGAAAATATTAAACAGAGAGAATAGCACGGAGATCCTCTGTCTCCTACTGCTGAACTAGCAACGTCTTTCAGGCAAACTTTAATTATCAAGGATTGTGTGGACGTTTACTGCTATCATTGCCTGTAATTATAATTATTGCGGTCTCGCAGGGGGGCCTTGGAGCTTGAGGATTTTATTGTGGGGGTGGTGGGGGGGGGGGGGTTTAGGGGTACATGGATAGTTCTGTAGCCACAGACTGTGCTAGTCAGGATTTTATATTCGCTTCCGTCAGGGGAAAAAATTATCAATCTTAACGAGGGTTCCAACCCTGGTCTCCTGCATTAGAACCCTGCTTTCATAACCTTTCGACCAGACTGCTGTACGGTACACCAGTGCAAAACCTAATACAGCCGTTAGAGGTTGCCAAATTATAATTACTTTGAGGCTTTCACGAGACAGCTAGGATTTAGTTTATTGGTTTAACTTCCAGGAACCTGCAGTCTGAGTCACCGCAGAGTCTAGCCTATAAATGGCTTCTTTGCTTTGCCAAACCCAACAGCCCTTTAACTGAAGATTAAACACAGCCGCCGTACTTCTTTTGACCAATATTAACATCTCATTGATCCTACAGCAGGTGGCTCTAAACTTCCTTATGCCGCTACTCTTAAATACAGTTCCTCATGTTGTGGCGACCCCCAACCATGCAATTATTTTCGTTGCTACTTCATAACTTCAATGAATATATGGCGATGGTCTTTGGCGATCCTTGTTAAAGGGTCGTTCGATCTAAAAAAGGGTCCCGACTCACAGGCTGAGAACCGCTTTCCTACAGGTTCTTTGGTATCAGGGCTGCCGAAGTTGGTACATTCGTACAAATTTGGAACTATCTGACCCTTGCCGAACTAAACTGTAATTTTGGCACCACATGCGATGTTTTGGTACGTTTTAGAAAGTATCAAAATGTAAAATGTGGGCACTGTGTTGAAATTTTTTTTTTTAATTATTGATAAGCGTGATTGACTTGTTAATGGAAATGTACCATTTGAAATGATTATGTCCGGTAACATGAGGCACTGGATGCAATAACTGTTACTGAAGGAAGATCGACGTCAATTAGGTCACTGGTCATGAAATTTTACCGCGTTATTAAAGAAGAACGTAATAAAAAATTAATCAAAGAAAGGGGGGGGGGGGTTATTAGTTCAAGATCAACCCCCAAGATTAAAAGCCAAAAAACAAAATGTGACCTGTGCTACATACCTGTTGAAGGTGACGACAGAGGTATAGTGCTACATACCTGTTGAAGGTGACGACAGAGGTTGACACGGCTCTGGGCGTCACTAGGAGATGAAAACAGACGGAGTAACACAATACTATCTTTAATACTTCAGCGTGACGTCGTCGGTACACATCGTCAGACGACTGGGGACAGAGGGTGTGACAATGCATCAGCCAGTTATAGAATAGAATGAGTTTTGAATTAAACGTATAGATAGATGCAATGATCGTCAAACTAACAAAGAAACTGGTAAGTTGACGGATAGCATACATGGAGACACAAAGCAGACATTGTGAGAGAGACGAACGGAAGGCTGACAGTAGACTTAGAGGCAGACAAACTGTCCTACAGACAGCATACATAGAGTCAGTCAGCAGACATGGAGACAGACAGTAGGCATGGAGACAGACAGACAGCGGATATGAAAAACAGACAAATAGTAGACATGAAGATAGACAAACAGCGGATATGGAAACAGACAAACAGCAGACATGGAAAAACACATAAATCAGACATGGAGACAGACACTAGACAGGGAAACAAACACCAGACATGGAGACAGTCAGGGAGATAGACAGCAGCAGACTACTAGATTTACTGACAGATAGACAGACGAACAGATTGGTCTTCTAGCAATCAGACTGACAGAAAACAGGCTTTGAGAAATACAGGTAGACATACATAAAGACAGACTGGGGAAGGGGGACAGACAAGCTGACAGACAGCAGAATGGAGATAAACAGAAAAAGAATATACACAGACAGACAAGCAAGTCTATGAAGCAGAAAGGCAGGCAGACTTTATAAATACGTTAGAAAAACTATAGTTCACAAACTGACTGATACGAGCGTACACACAGAGAAAACAATGACAAGAAAAAGTCGGAGCTGATCCGTTTGCCACCAGACAGTTTTTTTGTTTCAGCGTGCAAATTTTCATGTGCTGATGACACTTTTCTCCTCCACCTCCTCCCCCTCCCCACCTTTCTTTGTATCCAGCTAAAGCTAAGTCCTCATTTCACAGCATAAGCTAAATCCTCATTACCGCCGTAGTAAGCTGATTTCTCATTCCACCCACCTGAGTTAATTCTTCACTCCTCATATAAGATAATTCTTCATTCTGGGCCCAGGATAATTCATTATTCCCCAATAGATAACTGCTCATTCTTCAACACAAACGAATAATTCATCCCCTAACTGAACCCCACATAAGCTAATTCTATATTACATTTACAGAGGCCAATTCTTCATATACCCACAGAAACTAATTCCTCATTCTTCTACACAAGTTAATTCAGCGAATTCATCTCTAAATCTAGCCTTATCTGCCCCACCCCACCAGACGAACAAATTCTAACCTCACCCCACCCCCCAGATAAGCAAATTCCTCATCCTCTCACATAAGTAAATTCATTATTCCCCGACATATTTAAATTCTACACCATCGGTTGCACAATTTACTACCTGACATGTTCACTATGTCTAGTTACGTGCCTACAAGAGAAAATAATGTGATTGTCCAGATATGGAGAAATATTTCAGGAAATAAATTACACAGTCCGTGGTTCGCGTCGTCTTTGTTCACATTCACAATGGGGAAACATCGCTTTGATCATTTTTACAACCTCAATTCCAAACCTTTAATCGTGCCTTGACATTTTGTATCCATTGCCAACATATATGCACGTTCATATGTGGAGAGCACTTGTTACACTGAGTGACTGATGAGAATAGCCCGGTCGCTATTCCAGTAAATCCCGTTCAACCGTCAGGTTATATTAGTATACTGGAAGCAAAGCCTAGGGGAAATTTTGCATTAGAGGAAAGGAGGAGATAATAATAAACAGGATAATATAGAAATCTACTCCTTGAACATATCTCGACTCCAAACCTACAATACAAGAGCTCCAACCGTATCGTGGCCTATGTGAAAACAACCCATATCAAGCTGCCTCAGTTACAAGAAAAATAAAGAAAAAGAGTTCGTTAGGCGGGGACTAGAACCATCACGTTCTAGCCCAGACAGGATAGCAGTACGGTAAACTAGGCACAGCAAATACAAGTTCCAATCTGAATCAAGCAAATGAACATAAGCATCACACTGAATATCTGTTTATTTCACTGAACTAAGACTAAGTTCTGCACAAATAAAAATGCATTGAAAATCCACAACATGTTCAACATACCCTAACAACAGATGGAAACCTATTCCTGCCTACATACCTGAACCCGCGTTGAGCTCAACACCTGAACGCAACGGGAAAATCAGAACTACATGTTACTCGTCCGAACAGCAGAGCCCTAAGAGACCAAATGGACCACTCTCGACTCTTTTATAATTTCCTGACCACAAGTTTGTCAGGTTTTTGGTTCGCTTTAAGCCTAATCAAAATGTATGCAAGGCTGCCCTGAGCCGGTTACATTAGGGCCCCGACGATAGCCGGTGTGGGGCTTTAAAACAATTAATTATTAATGCTACATTTGACTGACTGAGGCCCACGCCCACCAGGACATCACATAGAGCGGCAAACACCCGGTGACACAAAGTGCCACCACTCGAATGTGGGTCAACCGACATGTCACAGAAACCCGGTTCAACCCGTAGGGTTATAATTAGATTCCCCGACCACTGCGGGGATGGGGCTTCAGAGAAAAGAAAAACTGCATCCAACTTAGGGACGTAACTTACATATTACACTTGTTGTTTAACCCCACCAGGACCGCACGCCGAACAACCAACACCTGGTGACACAAAGTGCTACCATGCAGATGATGATCACCTGGGCACAAGTCCCAGAAACCCCGATCAAATCATAGGTTGATTATATTAGGGCACCCGACAACTGCCGGAGTGTCTTTAAAATAACGAAAAATTGCGTCCTAAAGTGGGACGATATTTCATTGTAGAATATATAACACTTACACATCTCAGTCATAAATCGTAACTGTTTAGCAGTGAGAAATGTGTCATTAATACTGACTGTTATTTTGGAAACTCCCAGTTTCTGTATGATTGCTATTTCAATGTGCAATAGCATCTCATAATTAATTGTTCTACTTTTGAAAGCAAAGAGCAAACAATAATTTAAAAAAATATCTATACTTATAACGCAAATAAAACAAAGAAATACAAAAACGAATGTGAAACAGAAGATAACACGAGAAATGGGAGATAATTATATGAAACGCAAGCGAAATAACACGAGTTTAGGAACTATTACACATAAAGAAACAGGTTAATTATAATCCGCACCGTGGCGAATTGTTTTGAAATCGATTTAGGATCCCTGGTCGAACCAAATTAAAGAAGGTTGCAGGAAACATCATACGAGGTGAAAACTGGCGGTACGATGTCTGTCATATCATTCACTGAGTGCTATTGCCCTATAAGAGCACTGATGCAACGGTTCATGACTCCTACAACTTTTAACATTTTAAAAGAACGCGTATAGGATAGGGATATTACATGTTTTCCAAAAAAATAAAATGGGTATTATATTAATTTTTGCCCTTAAAATGTATTGGATTCTTGGGAGAGTGGGGAGATGTCTTCTGCAAAAAACTGCAATTATTCGTGTTCATATCCTTCTGGATCATCGTATTAAATCCCCAAATCCCGAATTCCTGAATTCCCGCCTGAATTTCTTGGTACTCCATGTCCTGTTAAACCGTTGTCCCCAGTCTCTCGTGACCAGCAGTAAAACTTTCCTATGCTTGCTGATGACTTTAGCTAGGGCTGATTTCTTTTGATAGGGCTAATTTCAAAAACATCCTGAAAATCGGGTAGGATTTTTTTTTTTCGGTAGGTCTTATCTTTGGGGAAACCCGGTACAACTTTGACCAGATTGGAATACGAACTTGCATTAGTGAATGGACTATTGATGTAATTAATGAAGAAAGTAACTTCAAACTCAAAAACATTCATCAAACTGGCACAGGAACTTGCATTAGTCAATAGAACAATTATATATTTAAAGATGAAAGTAACCTCGACCTCAAGAACATTCATGAAATTTGAACATGAATTTGTTGTTGTTATGTTGTTATCGATCCAGAAAACATGAATTTACTTTTACACGAAGAACATGAACATATTCAAAGACGAATGTACTAGAATTTTTTAATTTTTTTATTATTGTCAATTAAAATTAAACGCAAACGTACTTTGACATAGAGAACATTAATCAAATTAGACGATGAATGTAATTTAATCAACAGAACATTAACCAAATTAGACAATGAACGTACTTTAATATACAGAACATTAACCACATTAGACAACAAACGTACTTTAATCAACAGGAAATTAACCAAATTTGTTGATAAACGCACTTTAATCAAAAGAAAATTAATCAAATTCTTCTTCTTCTTCTTCTTCTTTCGTTCGCATGAAATAAATTGTCTATATCTGCAAAGCCGTCTCTTGTATGAATTTCACTGTCTTTTGTAATTCACTAAGCGGCCCGTAAAGTTTGACTTCCACAAGTGTCTCTTTTGGCCAAATGTTTTGCCTGAAAGCGTTGAATATGGGACAGTCTTGAAGGATGTGATCTGTTGTTTCAGGTGCCAGTCCACAAGTACACATGGCCGATTGGCCAATCTTAAATTTGTTGTACATGTGGGAGCGAAGTCTATTGTGCCCTGTTCTAAGGCGAAGGATAATAACTTGCTCTGGTCTGTCCATAATATGGTAATCATCTTGTGCCAGTTTCGGTGGCATTCTGATTGATTTGATCATTCTCTTCTTCTGTTGATAAGAGACTGGTATGTCAGGTTGTTCTTCAGTTGCACCTTCCTTAGCTAGTTGATCAGCTTTTTCGTTTCCGGGAACTCCACAGTGGGAAGGTATCCACTGCATTACTAATTTACAGCGGTTGCCTAGTTCGGATAATAGTGTCCGTATGCTTGGTAATTTTCCAGACTGGAGTGACTGAAGTACTGCTTTTGCATCTGTCAGGAATACCACTGGTTGTGAAAAATACCCTGTATTTAGTAGTTTCTCTACCGCTATCTTGATGGCTTGAACTTCTGCATCATAGTTGTGACAGTGCTTTCCCGTTGGTAATTTGGCTGTATCCCTGGTATTATTAGGATACTCAATGTACACTCCCGCACCTCCGTTTCTGACTGCGCTTTCTGCTGACCCATCTGTGTAAACACGGACCCAAAGGTTCTGCGGGTATTCATCATCAAGTAAACTGAGGGTGGCTGTTTTGCGCTGCACACTGTTTTGTTCTTCCTTGTCAAATACCCCTTTCACTTCAGTCTTGATGTGTATTGGAAACTTATACTCCTCTCTCCAGGGGGTCCGTTCTGGGACAGCATTTAAGGATCTATCAGTTGCAGGTAAATCAGTGGTTTGTCTGCCGAGCCGTTTGGCCTGGTGGATAAAACTACTTCTCTTTAGTCGTCCCAAAGCTAAATTTTTGAATCTTTCATTCATAGGGTGACTGGGCATACTAAGAAACTTTTCTGCTTGTAAAAGCATCTTGGTGTCTCTGCGTTCACTTAGTGCTTGGGTCATCCCCATTTTCTCCATCACAGCTATAGGTGTTGATTTCATACTGCCTGTGGTAACTCTGAGTGCTTGATTTTGCACTTTGTCTAATTCTTGCAATGTGGTTTTTGATGCCGAACTCCATGCTGTTGATCCGTATTCAAGATGTGGTCGAACACTTTGTTGGTAAACTTTTCTAAGTATTTTCCCGCTAGCACCCCATGTGGTTCCACTTAGTTTTCTCAGAATGGCTACCCTCCTTCTGGCTTTGGTTGCTGCCTTGTTGATGTGTTTTCTCCATGTTAATCTATCATCAAACGTTACGCCGAGGTATGTGGGCTCCTTAATCAAATTAAAACGCATTACTTCAATTACTTTAACCTTTAGAACAGTAACCACAATAGAAGATAAACTTACTTTAACTGCTCTACTGCAGGTCCAGGACAAGAGGCCAATATCAAATGTTAGAAAACAGAAAGTTGGTAGGTACAGAAGCAGTAGAAGATCGATGGCGTTGAGTACTTCCATTGCCTTCTCACTCTCCGGTATGACGCTGCATTCAGTGCGGGACTTTCTCCTGAAGGCGCCATGAGTCCAGGTTTTGTACGAGTAAATGGTAAAGGCAAGGATGGAGAGACCTAGGAATAGCTTTATGAGTGAGTCTCAGTTCTCAGAAACAGTCTTTATACATTACAGTAAAAATCAAAGGATCCTTTTCTGCGACTTCGGGCGTATTGGGCATATAGGGCTAGACCTATGTTTTATAGACCAATCAGAACTCGGTAGGTGATATGGTCAACATCACGCCACCCACGTTTACTTCTTAGGACTTTCCCCTGTACCCATTTAAGGGTGGGTCGACCTGTAAGCCGGGGTCCTTTTTTGAAGACAGTCTAGCTCCGTCAAGACCTTAATCCAAGACCTTCGGTTCCGCACTCAAGCGTCTAGCCGCTAAATCACTGCTGCTATACATTATAGTTGATATTCTATACATACACTGTATATTGTTTTATTACTGCAGTGGTTCTCAGACTTCCTAATGCCGGGACCCTTTAATACAGTTCCTCATGTTGTGGCCAACATAAACCATAAAATTATTTTTGTTACTACTCCATAACTTCGGTGAACATATGCTTTCCGATAGTCTTTCACGACCCTAGTGCAAGGGTCGTTCGACCCACAAAAGGGTCACGACCCACAGGTTTAGAACCGCTGATTTACAGTCTGGAAAAAGAAATGAACATGTTGACTAGCTTGCTGACAGGGCTTCGTTCGGCACAAGAAAACCAATGAACTAAGCCGAAATTCTTAATGCTCTCACGGAAGCACGAGGAGTAGATAATTTAGTAGACGACAGTGAATCGACAGCTTTACCACGACTACAAGAGCTGCATGTCAAAAGAGATGTTACCATATAATAATAAATACCCTTAACAGAAGAAGAATAGTCCACCAATACATAACTGGTGATATCAGTGGCCATAAGCTGAGGGGGATACTAAATATGGGATCCGAACGCTTATGGACATGTCCCGTGTGCGATGAGGATGTTGTTCGTCCATCACGAGTGATGAAGACCAATTTTAATCCAAAGTAGTAATGATCAATGGTTATGAGACGAAGGAGGCTGATTAGTCTAATATGAGCCCGAAAAGTTCTTGAGCAATGTGGACAATAGGTGAGTGTTGGATTAGCAAAACGGTTCTTTCTAGTCTGCCTCTGTTTCTCTGCCTGTGCAACTTCCATTGCCTGGTAGGCTGATGCAGCCTGCCTGAGGGATGTGCGCCATCCAGATTAACATGAACCTAACCCAACATAGGTAAATTAGAATTTATCCACCCACCGGAAGGCGGCAGTTACCTCCTTAACTTCTATTTTCATGTTCGATGTGGCAATGAAGCCCACCGGCTGTAAACTCTGGCAGGAAGTTCTTGTTGTTCGTCCACTCCTGGCCTGCAGTCCTGTTTCACAACCTGAGCGTTGCGTGTGCATCCGTTTGACATATCTGACTCATTTGTGTGCAGACTGTTGGTTCCTTGCCTCTCAGGCAGATGCACTCCGACTTTGAAAAAAAGCTCCTAATTAGTCGACTCTTACGACACACTTTTAAGTAGGCAGTCAGTCTTTTCTTGTTTTCCCTATTATAGAGCCCCGGAACCCACACGAGATATTGCGGTTTATAGCTGGGTTATGAAATCTGCACCTTTCTGCGCAACGCTTCCCATTTCAGCAAACTTCTAATACATACTTTATACGTGTAAAAAAGGGGGACTCTAAGTCAATTGCTAAAAATTATTAGGGAAAGTGGGCTTAAAGAACCTTAGCGCCCAGGTCTTAGAGCCCCTGTGTGATAGCCACTTACCAATAACCCACATTTTCGCAGCCCCGGGACTGTTCATCCACTTGACAGATTTTAGTCTGGTCAGGTCATAAAGAATCAGCAGAGCACTTGACACACTCAGAAGAAACGCTAGGAATGGGAAGAAATGGCTGCAAGAAAACAGGATTATTTATCACTTAGCTAAAGCCAATTAAATCATTTCTGACAGCAAACATGAAAATTAACGGCAATAACGAACGTATGCAATTTTGAAAAAAAAAGAAAATACATAAATTCAGTAGACTGCATGCACAATTTATTACCTGTAATATTTCGCTGCAACTGAATATGTGTAATTTAAAATATTAAACTAGGTGAAGAAATTCTTCTGCTTCTTCTTTGGGTTCACTGACTGGGTTCACTGACTGGGTTCACTGACTGGGTTCACTGACTGGGTTCACTGACTGGGTTCACTGACTGGGTTCACTGACTGGGTACACTGACTGGGTTCACTGACTGGGTTCACTGACTGGGTTCACTGACTGGGTTCACTGACTGGGTTCACTGACTGGGTTCACTGACTGGGTTCACTGACTGGGTTCACTGACTGGGTTCACTGACTGGGTTCACTGACTGCAAACTCCGACAGACAGTTTTGGTTTTTCGTCCGTTTCTGGATTAGTCTTGTTTCAGAACGTGAATTTTGCTTGCATATTCGCAAACACCACTAATCACTGGACTCTTACGACACGCTTGTTAGGGAGCTACATCCCACCCTTGATGGGGTACCCGAGTTATGATGCTGTTCAGAATTATAAATTGTCTAGAATAATCTTCGTTCTGTGAATTTCTTTTATGTCATATTTAATTTGTAACTCGTTTAATACATATTTCACATGATGTTATCATGGTAGCTAATTTTACACTTGAAACCTTGATTCACTAAGCATATCATAACTTCGACGACCGCGTCGCCCACTGGCTCGCCGACTGACGACTTTGTAGCCAGTTTGGTTAGTATTTGGGCTTGTCTCCTTTCATTGCATCAACTCTGCAGGAGGCCTTTTCGGGGCTTTTCGTGGCGTGCAATGCTAAGCCGTTTTATATGGCGCACATACCCTAGTTATAATTTTAACAAAAAGCTCCCCCTTCGAGGATGCTGATTAAACGGGACGATTTTTTCTCTCTAGGAAAGCACCTGGCTACCTAAATCGCTACGTACGCAAATTCCTTAGGTAGAAGTTGTTTGATTGCTCTTCTTCTCCACACTTTACTCCTTCTTCTGGCGTATTAGGCATGTAGGGCTGGATCTATATTTTATAGACTAATTGGCAATCGGTGTGGAATGTGGTCAACCTCACACCGGCCACCTTTACTTCCATGAACGTTGCCTGTTACCCATTCAAAGCTGGGTCGACCTGGGAGCTAGTGTCATTTTTGAAAGGGGAAAAAAGGTCCAGCACCGTTCCGATTTTAATCTGCAACCTTCTGATCCGCAGGCGAGCGTGTAGCAACTGAACCACGCTGGCTCACTCTCTAGACTCATTATACATAAAATACTTATTATTATTATTATTATTATTATTACTATTATTATTATTATTATTACTAATATTATTATTAGCATTATTATTATTTAGAAATGTAGGCATACTTAAAACACATTTCAGCGACTGGACGAAGACTTAAATGTTGTTTATTATACATTTTATGTGTACAAGTTTTTTTTCTTTATTTTATTATTTTAAAATTTTTGGGAGGAGAAACGTAAGCATTTTAAGAACAAATTCTAACGACTGTACGAAGACTTAAATGTTAGTTATGAAGTTTACTGTCATCATTGATAACCTCGTCACTACTACTAATATTATATATAAAACGATGTATGGATGGAAGAATAAATGAAAGCCTTGACGCCAAAAGTAGTCTACAAAACATACCTGTGTGATCAAAACTCAACCCTTTGACAGAAAAGATTGTTCATTCGGTCGTTTGTTCGTTCTTCTTTTTTTCTTCTCCCAAGAGGTCTGGGAAGTTACAGGCCAGGAAAG